CCTCTGGCTGGGGTCCAAAGGGAGCTGGACCAACAGAACAGGAAGAGAGAGAAGGCATGCGAGAGAACAGAGAGTGGAGGGAAAGGTGATCCTTTCCTCCCCCTTCTCTTGGCCCCTCTCTGTCCCCTTCCCCAGAGGGGGCTGGGCTGGTAACCCTTGGAGGTGTGCTGATGTGGCTGATGAGACAGTGGTAGAGGTGTGGGATCTGGGGCAGAGGAGATGGTGCCCCCCATTAGCAGGCCCCTGGCACCATCAGTGTCCCTGTGCAGCATGTGCACTTGGTGGGGAGAGTTCAGCCAGGAGGAGAGTCTAGCCCAGGGTGATCAGATGAGGCAGGGAGGCAGCTTTGTCCATCCCAGCAAGGACAATGGCAGTGAGGTCAGCGTGGCGAGAGGCGGACACTGATGGGATATGACAGCCCTGAAGCTGGTGCTACAATGCCTGCTGAATTGACACTGCCTTTTTGTGCCCTGTTCCCTGCGCACCTCGGCCCTCTTGACAGTGGAAGAGACCAGCACTGAAAGGCCCAGGGAGCCTGCCAGCAATGCATCAATGTCCTGTCAGAGAGACTTCCCATGACAGATCTGCCTCCCACTGCTTCTTTAATCAGCTCCCTGCTCCGTGGTCCTCTGCCGGCCCAACCGGCACTGCACCCAGGTTCTGGGACAGGGAAGAGCTCCCAGCCTCTCCCAGCCTCCCTCCAGAAGGCAGCAGGGATGGAAAAGCCTAAGCCCAGAACAGAAGCACATGTGCAAGCTGCCCACTGTGACAGGCACCAGATGGACTAGCCCAGCCACTTCAGCATGCCAGGGCTTGTCTGGGCATTTCTAATGTGCCCGTTAACATGCCAGGAACCAAGCCAGCTCCTGGAAGCACCAGGATTCCCCCCTCCCCAATACACCAGCCCTGGGACCCAGACTCCCAACATATGCACGGCAGGATCCCTCTCCTAGGATTCAGCAGGGGCTGCACCCCACTCCAGAGCAGAACTGGCAGTAGATGGGATGCTTGCCAGCCTTCTCAAGGGTGGCTCTAGCAATATCCTGCAGCTCTGACTGTGTCCGGATAATGGCCATTGGGCCCAAGCAGGCCAAGCCCAGACCAGTCAGTGGTGTGTCCCCTTGGACTCTGCCTGGAACTCCGAGCAGCTCCCCAGTCCTGCCCACTTCAGCTGGGAGCGTGAATTGTCCCGAGGAGGCAGCTGGCACCAGTGGCCTTGGAGTGGGGTCTGAGTTCCATACGCAGTCCTAGACACTAGAGAGGGGGAAGCCCCGTTAGCCTAGCTGGGGCCTATCTCCTGGAGCGCGGGGCAGGACTGCTCCTTATCCAGTTCAATTTGAAATAACTCCAGTGCTGGGGCTCCCATCCCCTCCCCGAGAAGATGATTCCCCAGCCTCCTGGGGCATACTGCTAGGGAAGGGCACCTGATTCCCAGGGAAGGTAGGTGGGGGGAGCCCATCGTGTCCCTCTCCTCCGTCCCACCCCCCTTCCCACCCTGTTCCTATCCAGCCCCCCAGCCCCAACATGTGCCTCCGGCTGGATTCATGCACAGCAGGTTGTGGTGATGTGTAGGGGCGGCTTGCTAAGGCGGGGGCTTCTGAAAACAGGTCTCAGGGCTGGGTTCAGAGCTGTCCTCCCAGGAGAGCCAATGTCAAAGCAATGAGGACCCACTCAGTGGAACGAACAGGCCGCTCATTTCAACAGACAACAGGAATGGCTTTTCTAGCGACGTGCACCAAGCCTGTGGAACTCACTGCTGTTGGATACAGTCAAGGCAAAGAGCTCAGCACAATTCAAAGGATTAGGCCTTGCTATGAATGAGAATAGTGTCTCCGTCTAGTTAGTGCACCCAGCCCTCCAGTAGCTGCAGTTATACCCAAATAAAATCACTGGGGCTCTCAACTTCCGGACACACACTTACCACCAGCTGCGGGCTTATGGAAGTAATTCCCCTATAACTGAGAAGTCACAAATAAGTGTCTTCTGGGGGGGATACGCCGTTCTCTGAACTATTAGGTATCAGCTACTGCCAGAAACAGGATACTGTGCTGGGACACACACACACATTTGCTCTGGTGCAGCAGGAAATGGATTATTAATTATTATTTTTATTATTATTATTCCTCGAGAGGCACCTGGACCAAAGTCAGGGTCTCATTGAGCCAGGTGCTGTACAAACACACAGCAAGAAGCAGGCACTGTGAAGCGCAGACTGTATGGAATATATGTGTGCTCTAGAGCAGTAGGCACTGGAAAGCCAAACTAGAAGGACTGGATCTGTTTCATCATTGCAGGGGCACTGGATTAAATAACTCCTGGGCCTGTTCAGTCCAGGAACAACCAGGGGTGGGTTACCTGGCTAGAGGGACCTCTGGGCTTTCCACGTGAAGGGAACCAGATGGATCTCTGGACCATTCCAGGCTGGCCATTCCTAAGTTTCTAACAAGGAAGAGAGAAAACAAAAAGTGGAAATAAAGTGGCCAGGAAGTGGGAAATGTCAGCGATGCCTCCGTCAGTGCTGCAGCGTGGGTGCACAGGCAAGCAGGCAGCCTCTTAATTATTGATACCGCTTAGAAAATAAATGCAGAGACAGAGAGGAGAGAGCTGCTTCCAGACAAGGGAGGGAAACCGAGAACTCCAGTGCTTTAAAGGTCAATTGGTTTTGCATCTCTTTCCCCGCGTCTTCATAAAACTCAGTGATATTTGAGTTAATGGATTATCTTCCATGTGCAGCCTCCGTCTGCACCTGCCCGAGTCCCAGAAGGGATAGTGGTGGAGGGGGGAGGGAGGGAGGGAGCAGTCACCGAAATGTGGGACAAATGAGCAAACGAGGAAACAACAAAATTAGTGGAGCAGCAAATTCCAAGCCAAGTGGAAATAATTCCTCTCCATGTGAAAATAAGGTCCATGTCATTTCTGATTTGCCCCCCTCTTCCTGGCCAGTGTCTGGGGCCCAGAGTTGGAAGTCTCTGCTGAAAAGCAGGAGAGAGAGGAGCGAAATCAAGAGAGCACTGGGGGTTGGGGAATAGTAAGGTGACCTGGTACACCTACACCAGGGAAGCTTCTTAGTTCAACTGGTGCAGCCACCTCGGGTGGATACAGGCACCTTAGTTCAATTTAGTCTAAATGGGTAAACACCCCACTACAGCTAAATTGACAGGAGGTACTTTTAAATGGAGGTAAGTCCCCAACCCAACATTGTTAAATCAATACACCGTGTGGAAACCATCCTGGCATCGTTACAATGCCAGAGGTATAAGAGAGGGAGCCAGGGCTCCCCGGTGTACGTGTGTGAGACTGTCATGTGAGCCCACGTGCATGTGTCCAAGCACAGGAGAGAGTACCTGTGTGTGCATGAGCGGGCGACTCCATGTGTATGTACAGGCGTGAGTCAATGTGAGAGTGTGCTAGGAGTGTGTATGAAAGTGCACGGGCATGCGAAAGACTGAAGGAGAGTGTATATGTGTGCAAGAGTCCGTGCAAATGTTCAGCTGTCTGAGTATGAAAGTCCAAGTGTGCAGGTGCATACGTGTGAAGCCCCGTGGTGGGTTAGATAGCACAGCCAAGGCTGCCTTAAAGCCCAGTACACAGACAGACTGCTCCATGAGTGGCAATATGTGGAGCTGCCTGTCCAAGCGTGTAGGCGTTCACAGGCTTGTGTCTAGCCAGTCTCTCTCTAGACAGTTCTTTTCCTCTCAGTGCTGTGCTATGCGAGTGCCTACATGATATACCTGGTCATGTGAGTCGACGTGTAAAAGCAGGCGTGCAAGCCCATCTGCACAAGTGTGTGCAAATGCCCATGCATAGGGGAATCCTGCTCTGTGTGCTGGTCTCCCTCAGCCCTTCTCGAGCAGCAGTGCTTGCCCAGAATTCATGACAAAGGTCCTCCATGTTAGATCGAGCTGCTCCACGGGGCTCTCCCTCCCACCCTGCTCAGGAACTGCTGAGTATGCCATGCCAGCCAGCCTTGAACAGCTTGCTGCAAAGCCAGATGGGGCCCAGGCCTGCGGAGGAGGGGACCCCCAGCTGCCACATTTGGCTGAGAGCCCAGAAAATGCACATTGGCACCCACACAGCAAGGGTGCCATCAGCCTTCTAGGGATGGGGGGCCAAGGTGGCTCTCAGAGAAGGAGGGCTGGGGAGGGGCTGAGCTGTAGTGACAGTTACCCCCTCCTCACCCTTCAGTGGGAATCCAGGACATACACACTCCTCTCTTGATCCCTGCATGAAGTTCCAGAAGGAAAAGCAAGCAACCCTGCCAGAGTAACCCAGTGCACCAGAGGGGAAATGCCTCCCTGTGGAGAGATCCCTTTGGCCGTGTGGAGAAGCTCTGTCCCCCTGGTTAAGTATCAGCCCCTGGTCATACCCCACAATGTGCTTTTCCAGATGTGGCGGCAGTGTCTCCACTGGGAAGGGCACCCACAGCTGCAGACCCCACCTTTCACCCACCCACCCACTCTGACATCTGGAGCCTCTGTCTGAGATCACGGTCATGGCTGGGGAGTTCTCTCTCTGGAGTGCCTTAAGAACCTCTCTCCTAGCTGCTTGCAGGATCTGCCCAGCTGTTGGCAGGTCTCCCTCCCCAAAGCTTGCCAGTTTGGCTGGGCTATTGCAGTCTGGCTCAGTGGCCCTTGTGATGTCCTGGCAGCACAGCAGGGGTATCAGACTCCCCAGATTTGCCCTAGGATGGCAGATCCAGACACTTAGTCTTGCTGCCTCTGTTCCAGTCAGGGTCTGGGCTCTGACGCGGAGTGAGCATGACCCACTGGACAGTTCAGTTGCCAGCACTCTACTCTGGTTCCTGCTTGTGTTGAGGCTCTTTGTTCTGATTTCTCGGGGTTCCCCTGCACTCTCAGACTCTCACCTCTGCCCAGGATCAGGGCCCAGACCTGGAGAACACCACTCAGATCCTGCCCTTGGAGGAAGTCCTGGGCACTGCTTTATGGATTAGTCCACAGGGATGGACATTTGGTGGAGAGGTTTCCTGGAGACTCGGCCTAATGCCTGGCCTTGGGAGGGGATTGCTAGAAACCGCCACCACAGGTATGTCTGGAGTTCACACCTCACAGCTGCCTAAGGTTCAGCCCAGAGGCCACACTTAGAACCTCTTCTGCATGGCGGTGGGGTTTTCAGATGCTGCCTGTAAGATGCAGCCTTGAAGACATGCCAGGAGGACTTTGTCTCACAGGGTTCCTGGAGGGTTCCCACTATTGAAAGTCATCCCATAAGACAAGCCAAGGACTTTCCCTCAGGAGCAAAGGGGCACAGTAGGATGCTGCATCTGACTGTCCCTGGAGAGAGTTGTTGCCTCCTTTCTGGGAGTCCCCCTTGCACCTCCCACTGTGAAATCACTCCTACTCTTCCTCTGTTGCCCTGGGAGCTGCCTCCCCTTTCCCTCTGATCATTCACTAAGTGCATTAGCAGAGCAACCGAAGTCTCCTACCCCCTGCACTCTTTGCACAGTCCTTCCTCCATCCGGCTGCCTGTCTGTCCTCTCTGTGTCTTGGCTAGAGGTGGATGGCGGGGGCGGGGCAGAAGGCATCTCATCCATACACATTGCTGTTTGGCACTGGCAGGAAGGAGGAATCTATAACCCCCTGTCTGACAGCTGGGACAGGATTACATTAGCTGGGCCTCCTCCCAGCTGCTTGTTTGCAAGGGAAACTGTGAGCTGGGAGCAGGACATTTCACCCCAGGCAGCCCCTTGGGGTGGAGGAGGCTCATCTGAACTCTCCAGCCCCTCTGAGCCATGTGCCTATCTTCAGCCTGGTACCAGGGAAACCCAGCTGCTCCACACACGAATCAGCTGTGCCCTGCAGATGTGAGGGGTTGTCACAATGAGGAATCTCGGAGTTGGACTAGCTTGGCCATTGCAGCCTGGCATTTCACCCATGCTCTGGGTCACCAGCAGAACTTCCTCTGGCCGGAGAAGGGGCGGGGACAGGACTGAGGAATGGGTTGAAGGTTACGTCCCAGAGCATCACTAGGACCTTGTTTCTTGCTGGCCAGGAACTCGGCAGGTGCCTCCTCTGGCCCTGGCATCATTAGCCAGTCCCAGAGGGGAAGCTTGGTGGGATTGTGGCCAGGGAGGAGGTCCCAATGGCTCTGTGCCCACAATCCGGGCAGTGGTATTGTGGTAGAGTCCATGAGGATTCTCTATAAGGGCACAGGGAAGGGATGGGGAGGCCCAGGAATTACTGTGTGTGAGGTATGAAGAATTTGGACACTCCCCAGTGCCTCACAGGCCTCCTCCCACCCCCTCACCCCCCCGAGATTTGTGAAACAGAGACAGTCCGTGTCCATGGCTCCCATACAGCGCGGTTGCTAAGCAGCGTGGGTCACATGACTGGCCTTTGTCAGTGTGATAGGGACTGGTTGGCGCCGGGAGGAGGGGGATCTTGTGGGAACATGCTCTCAGCGGTGGGGTTAAGCAGGAGCACGCACCCCTCCCCCTCAGGTCTCTCTGTCTCTGCTCAGCTACACAACATGTGCAGTTGAGTCAGGGAAGCAGGCTCCAGCCCCGCTGCAGTGTGGGGTATAGACAGGTCCTTAGATGTGTTATGTAGCTAGGCTCAAGCCTAAGGCATGACCTGCCCACATCTCTCTCTAGGGCTTGTATGAAGCCTGTCTGAGGTATCTGGTCAAAGCCCTGCCTACAACCACACACCGGAACCGTGCTCTAACCCGGTCCCCTGACTCAGCTGCATTTGCTGTGCAGGCGGGCAGAGAGAAACAGGGGCAGGGCCAATTCACCTGTGAGATTCTGTGATATCACACCACCTGGCAATGTGCCACCGTGCCCGCTAGGTAGTGCGTGGACACTAGGGGTCAGTCCCAAGCTCGGTGTGTAACCCTGTGCAGAGACTTGCCCTTCCTTACACCTCACTGGCACTTGCCTGGCTTGTCACACCAATGAACTGAGAGGAGCAGGTGTGTGCAGAGTGAATGGGAAAAACTAGTCAACAAGAGACACTGGTGGGGTTCAATGCCTCTATTTCTGCTGTTGCACGTACCCTGATTGTTTCTTGGCTCACCTAATTCGCCGCTTACTAGAAGTTACCTGACCCCAGACCATCCCCTTCCTGGTGCCTCCCACTCTCCAAAACCAGCCCTGGCACTTGACTCATGGCCAAGCCAGCACTGCGAGTCCAAGTCACATGATGAAGTGTCCCTCCCTATCACCCATATGGGCCGGGCAAGAGCTAATCTGGAGGAGCCCAATCCCACAGCCCTCAAAGGCATGCAGAGTGGCCTTGTGCCTAAAGAACGGGACTGGGACTCAGGAGACCTGGATTCTAGTCCCTACTCTGCCACCAATTTGCTAGGTGACCTGTGCCTCAGTTTACCCATCTGTGAAATGGGAGTTAATGATACTGGCCTCCTTTGCAAAGCGCTTTGAGATCTACTGATGAGAAGCACTATATTAGGTCTTAGTATTAACACTGAAGGCCCAGAGTACAGATCACAGGATTAGTGGTTGCTGCTACTAGGGGACTTGCTGCAGCCCCCAGACTCAGTGCTGGCTGACAGCCTGGCTCCTTGAGTTTGTAGAGTATCCTTTTCCCTCATCATCACTTCCCTGGGCACGATGCAGTGAGCTGGGAGCAAAGCAGAGACTCAAGGCTGCCACCTGCTGCTGGGTCTCAGTGTCTATGGCAGCGCAGAAGAACCACGGGAGAAGTGGTGTGTGCCAGATGATGAGCCCATCACACAGCAGTGCTCCACAGAAACCAGCAGCGAGCTGAGAAGCGCCTAGGAGCTGGACTCTGAGCTCCCTCAAAGTAACTCTCAGCACAGTAGGGATTAGAGGAATGAAAGGCCTTTGTGATGGAGGAAAGAAAAGACAGACCCTGGTGACTGGAGCTGTAGGCCCTTCTGTTGGTTTAGCATCAGCACAGTGCGGACTGGGGAGCGCTCTGCAGTGCCCCGACAACATCTGGGGAACATGGACCATGTTCAGCCCTGTTCTCCCCGAACCCTGCACACAGCACAGTCTTGGAAATGCTGCAGCACCTGCTGGGTGTGAGCAAGTGAGTGAGACAGAGATGAGGGGCCAGCCTTGCCCATCACACCTGCTTCCTCTAAGTGCCTGCCAGCCAGCAGGGATGCACAGGGGAAGGATGGGGAGAGCTCAGGGGATGGCTCAGGGCTTTCAGCATCAAGTCTCCTCACCCCTGTTGTAGTACTTAAACTGGGGGCTGCATGAGTTATTCAGGGCGGGGATGGTGAAAGAGAGAGGAAGAGCACTGTTGACCCACCGCTGGCGTGTCCATCATTTACTGGCGAATCAGACTTACCTCATGGACAAGACTTCAAGGAGCACACTCCTGTCTGCCTCGCATGGAGGTTAAAGGCCTGTGGCAGGGTTGGTTCTGCAGCAGCCCCTTGTGGCCTATCATGGCACTACTCACCCTATCTCAGTTTCCCTCCAGATCATCAATGGCTGGCAGTCACCTCCAACAGGGCTCGGGGCTGTGGGGACTTAGCCCTCATCTAAGTCACGCCAAAATTCCACCTCCTCTGGGGTATCAGGGTTCCAAAACCAATATAAAACATTCAAAAGACAGGTCACTTGTCCCAGTTCATGGCTGGGCCCAGCCCTTCTATGCAGGGTCTGTCTTTGCTGGTTAACACTCACCTGGGCTCTCTGCATCAGGCCCCCCTTCCCTCAGAGAGGCTATGGCAGCCAGCAGTCTTTCATCAGTTCCTGGCCCCCCACCAGGCTTCTCTGCCAGAGCAAAAGCTAGAGATCTGCTGCTGCTGGACATGGCACATTAGCTGGGGAGGGCTCTGTGTTACTACAGAGAATTCTTTCCCAGGTGTCTGCCTGGTGGGTCTTGCCCACATGCTCAGGGTCTAACTGATCACCATATTTGGGGTCGGGAGGGAATTTTCCCCAGGCTCAGATTGGCAGAGACCATGGCAGTTTTTGCTTTCCTCTGCAACATGGGGCATGGGTCACTTGCAGGTTTAAAATAGTGTAATTGGTGAATCCTCTGTAACTTGAAGTCTTTAAACCATGATTTGAGGACTTCAATAACTCAGCCAGAGGTTAGGGGTCTATTTCAGGAGTGCAATGTGCAGGAGGTCAGACTAGATGATCATGCTGGGCCCTTCTGACCTTAAAGTCTAAGAGTCTGGCTGTATTTTAAAGAAGACTTATTGGGGACACATGAACAAACCATCCCGATGTGCAGAAAGAATAGCAAATATGGCAGGCGACCAGCTTGGCTTATCAGAGAAATCTTTGGTGAGCTTAAACACAAAAAGGAAGCTTACAAGAAGTGGAAACTTGGACAGCTGACTAGGGAGGAGTATAAAAATATTGCTTGAGCATGCAGGGGTGTAATCAGGAAGGCCAAAGCACAATTGGAGTTGCAGCTAGCAAAGGATGTGCAGGGTAACAAGAAGGGTTCCTACAGGTATGTTAGCAACAAGAAGGTCAGGGAAAGTGTGGGACCCTTACTGAATAGGGGAGGCAACCTAAGGACAGATGATGTGTAAAAAAACAAAGTACTCAATGCTTTTTTTGCCTTGGTCTTCACAGACAAAGTCAGCTCCCATACTGCTGCACTGGGCAGCACAGTAAAGGGAGGAGGTGAGCAGCTCTCAGTGGTGAAAGAACAGATTAAGGATTATTTAGAAAAGCTGGACATGCACAAGTCTATGGGGCCGGATGCAATGCATCCAAGGGTGCTGAGGGAGTTGCTGGATGTGATTGCAGAGCCATTGGCCATTATCTTTGAAAACTCATGGCGATCAAGGGAGGTCCGGGACGATTGGAAAAAGGCAAATATAGTGCCCATCTTTAAAGAAAGGAAGAAAGAGAATCCGAGGAACTACAGATTGGTTAGCCTCACCTCAGTCCCCAGAAAAATCATGGAGCAGGTCCTCAAGGACTCCATTTTGAAGCACTTGGAGGAGAGGAAGGTGATCAGGAGCAGTCAACATGCATTCACCAAGGGCAAGTCATGCCTGACCAACCTGATTGCCTTCTATGATGAGATAACTAGCTCTGTGAATATGGGGAAAGCGGTGGACGT